GTACAAAAATGTAAATGTAATCATAGTGCAATACTTGACTTATTAGAGACACATACATTGTTCTTTATGATAATAATTTAAACACAAATTGTGCTATAACTATAGAGAAAAAACGGGGGGGGCGTGGTAATTTAAGAGAAAGAAATCCTCACCACTTACAATAGGAATTTAATAGATAATGCTGTAAATTGATCAATCAATACATAGCAGTTTAGCATATTACAATACATATGTGTCAGAAGAAACAGTTCAAAGTAGATGTATTTGGGGAGAGCAAATGCGGACAGAGAAGGAAGCATGGAGCTTCTGTTTTTTTGTTGTTACAAGCTTTGTAGTACTCTTTTTTAAATTATGTGCATGTATCAATTTTATAAAACTAAAAATTGATTTTAAAAAGTAAATGGTAGAGACCATATTCACCCCAATACTTTCAGTGAGGTAATGGGGACACATGACTTCTTCGAATCACTAGTACCCATGCTTCCTACCATCCATAATTTAAATTAACCTTGAACACATTATAATTAAGAAGCCAATGTGTTTCCCCTCTCATCTGGAATAATTAAACTGAGAGCCACTGAATATTCATTAACGTTAAAGAGCAGAGGTGAGATAACCAGTAAGCAGCATCCTGGGAACTATAACACGCTTAGTTCTTGAAATCATTTCTTGCATAAAGGTGTGCATTAGGTGTCTGGAGAGTAGGCCATATAGTGGTAGTAACCATCACTGGTAATTCACCAGCATGAGTAAGAATTTAATGTTCTACTAACATCAATAAGAAATCACAATGGGTTGTAAATAAGCTATCCATTCCTAAAAAAGAAAGCCCCAAAGAGGCTTGTACTCAAAATGAATTGAAAAGAAAGAGAAAGAGAAAAATAGTTTGGTAGCTTACTTTTCAAGGTTTTAGTTGATGAAAAATAAAACATTGAACTTTTATCTTGGGAAAACAAGTACTAGGAGGACAAATTCTCTTAAACACTGCCATATGCAAACATTTACATAAAAATGTGAAGATATTTTACAATGTGAACATTTGAAACCCATGACACTTGAAGGTTGCCTGGGAGAAGCGACAATCACCCCCTGCCATATCCAGGTTTGCGGCTGTTGTCTCTCTCAGTTCTGCAGTAATTGTCGAGTTAGTCCTGGTAACTCTGGCCATGGCTGCTGAATGCAAGGTCCCTGGGTGCAGCTGCCTCTATATTCCCCAACAATGATGGGTGTCACTACTGTTTAAATTATTAACATTAGCAAGGGAACAGGGTGTTTCAGAAGACTTGTAACAGTACATAAACAGTATTTGTAAAGAAGTAGATTAACAAAGGACCAGGATGGGAGAAATTTGCAATGTGTAACAACAGCAGGGAACGCATCTGAAAATATGCCCTCATGTCCATAAATAAGCTATCCCGGTTTCTGTTTAAAATGAGGACTGTACCTTAAAGGATCATAGCAAAGAAAGAAAACAAAAGTACTAGAATAGATTCTGAGTCAAAGGAAGTCAAGTGGAAGAAATTAAAAGAATTGCCTTCTTCTTAGTTATATTCATAATACAGCATGTGCGTTTTACACGTATGTGAAGATAAAAATCCCTACAGTATTCTTAACCTAGTTTACAAACTTCAAGATACTCAGTTGAAGGGTAATAGAATCCTTCTTATTTCCTGGATCAAATCCAATTTCTCAAACTGGGTAGAAAGAATTTGAGATAAGAAAATAACTTGCCAAAGAAAACAGAGAAAGATGTCTTGTGTTCAGCTAAAGAGAGAATATGCTATCAAGAATGAAAGGAATAAAGAGACTTGCTAAACTTCTGAAACAAATACAGCCAGTACTGCTTGGTCTCAGGATGAACATGGAAAAATAGAATTCGTGTATGCATAATAAGGGGGGATAATCCCAAGTACTGTCTGTTCACATGGCCCCAAAAATAAGGAAGTCATATTTCCAACGTAGTGTTCACACTTACATTTTCCACATTTTAAGAACAAGGAGTTTAAAAAAGCCCAGATAAAAGCAAAAATAACAATGAAGGAGTAGAAAATAAGAACTTAAACTGTAATTTTGTGGACAAAATACCATATTTAAAATTTTGTGGAAAAGTTAAAGAAATGGTTTGGGCTTGAGAAAAAAAAGTCTACGATGGTTATAATTTTCCATCTTCATTTCTAAAGAAAAAAAGAATGAGGGCAAATAGTCAGAAAATTTCACTTAGAAACATAAGATTTAAAAAATTTTCTCAAAGGAAAAAAAAGCGATTAAAATAGTAAACAGTCTAAGCTAACAAGAGGCTGTGAAATGATTGGAAACCAGTTAATTCTCAGTGTGAGATAGTCTTCAACTCATAGCTACCGTCCATTCACCCATCCTCCCATAGCTTCTTTTTCACGGCCCTCTTGCACATCTCTACTCTCTTCAAAATAGGGAGCTGGGCTGCCGTGAGTCGCCGGCGACGGCGTAGGCTGCAGCCCCTGTGGCAGTGGATTGCCATGGGCTACCGTGTGTAGCCAGCAGCCAGC